AATAAAAATTCTATAAAATGGGGAAAAAAGCTCCACATGGATGTGAAGGAGGGACGAGAAAAATTACCGAGGAGAAAGTCTGATATGMCACCTTAAAATATGAAACTTTTGCAAGGCCACCTGACTTCTCCAGATGAGWTCTATTCTAAATATCTTGATTTTCCCCACTGGAATATTTGACAACCTCCACCAGGCAAAGCCAGCCCAAATGAAGCTGTACAAATCACCCTCTCCCTTTTGTTAGTCCTTCATTTGATGCAATGTTTTCCTTTAAAGGAAAAACTATTTGGGCCAAGGCATGATCATAAGCCCTTGTGGGACAAGTCCATTTTTCAGCAGAGCCAAAATTCATTTGCCAAGCAGAATATGCAGTGGCACATGATGGTGTCCTTTTTATGCTCATTACCAGACTTGCTGATGAGCCCACTCTGTGAGCAAATAGATTTGTTTCTATAGAGGAATTGCTGCCATTTAGCACTGAAGGTGTTCCTAAAACAGTGAATTTCCCYAGGTTAAGCTGYTGTGAGRAGCTTCATCCCTGAGGAGGGAYATGTCCAGAGCCCTTCAGTGGAGARGCACAGMTGGAATGGCTCAGGGAGCTTTGTCACAGCCCAGCTGTACAGAAATTAAACCCATTAGGCTTCAGTGCACTCAGCTATCACCAAAGTGCTGCTTATTTGTGAGAAGAGTTATGGTAAAATCAATCCAGCTGAATGAGGCTGAAGCTGGAGAGCATCCTGCATCTTTGGAAATGCAGCTTCCTATTATCTTTACAAATGTGATGGGGAGAAGAGAGGACATTGGTATTATAAAGTACAGTTCCACTCTGGAAAATGTCAAAATAGCAACTTTCTATTCAGCAGATGAGCTCAGTGCTCTGCTGCTGTGCTTGACTTTCACCTCAGACAAATGAGCAGAAAATTGCCCAGCACTGGAGATAATCACAGCAGTTATGGGATGGAATTATTGGTGTGTTAACATCCAGCATTCCTTATCCCACAAACCAACATCTCATCCCCTCGAGAACACACTGCACTCTGCTTTGATACATTCCACAAGAGATTTGCTCACCTGGGAAGCCTCTGGCAGWCTCTGGCTCACATTCCAGAGGGCAGAACACAGAGCATGGGGCTGGAGCATCACACAAACACCTCCTGGACCCTGGAGAGGTCACAGAGGAACATTTCAGAATAGGGACACACATCACACTGGAACCCAAACACATCTCCTCCCAGTATGAAATTATGGGGACTGAGAGAAATGCTGCAAAACCATCATCAGATTTAATGATCCCAGGACAACCTGTGTGAGTTGGAACCAAATTGAGGGGATCAACCAAGTGTCCCTGTGGAGAAAAGGGACACTTTTCTCAAATTTATGTCACAATGTCGATTCGTGTCTCTATGACACGGACAGATTCCTCTGCACCCCTCTGTTCTCCTGCCTGGGTTGTAAAAGCATAAATTAGGTTCAATCTCTGCTCAGTTGCCATCTATCACTTGGCTTTTCCCCAGAAAAGCCAAAATTCTGCTTCCACGTGAGTGGAAGGTGACAGGGAAAGGAAATCTGGGGCTGTGACTGGAAATTTTTAGCGACAAAATACATTGGCTTGAGCAGTGAAGAATATGCTCCCTGTCTAGCAATTCCCACAATCTTTATGGCACTCCCAACCAACACATGGGGAAAAAGGAAAATGGATGTTCAAAATTAATAAGRATCCATCACCATTTCTCTAATAAGTCAGCCTAAAAAGCGGATGTAGTAAAACTGTAATTTATAGCAGTGATTAAAAAGCCTTTAATTGCCTATTTCACAATTTCCTTTCAAAATGTTCTTTGGGAAGCACAATCATTTGATTCCACTGAGACTTGTGTGCAAATGTTTAATTCTGGTGAAGAACCTGAACTTTCCGTGACCTCCAGGAAATGGTAATTATTTTTCCTTTGCTTGATTTGTTGAGCCTTGGTTTCTTCACTGTGAAGATCAAAAAAGCTGTCCCAAGAAGTAAATTTAACATATGGCCTGGAGCCTGAGGTGATTGTGCAATGTTTCTCCCTCTCTCGGGCGGCCCAGAGTCCGATCCTGCTCTGCTGGGGGAGCTCCAGCTCTGCTCTCACTGAACTGGAGAAGATTCGCAAGGAAAAGAACGGGACCTGGCTGGGAAAATCCAACATCGCCACCTATTGGATCTCAGTGGCGGGGGAGAGTCACAAATCCCCTAAACCAGAGGAGTTCCCTGGATTTCACATGACACAAAACCTTTTAAACAGCAAGGCTTTCCTTTAGGGCAGCGGGAGAACTTGGATATCCTGGGCTTTATAATAATGAATAATGAAAGTTATTTTCCAGATTGCTGAGTTTTATCAACTCAAATTGTCATATGGCTCAGGCCATGGACAGCGCACTGAATCTTCTGCTGTGAGCAGTMATGTTTAGGAATATCTAAAGAAAAACTGAAGTGCATCACTCCTAAATCTCTGGCTGTTTAAATCCAAGGGTGTTGTTCCATTCCCTGGCACAATTCAAGCCTCCTTTTGGGCTCGGGTTTGAAATACCTGAACAYCTTTAATGTTKTGTGAAACCAGWRTGGTGCATGAGACTAAACAAGAGTRGGATCATCTCAAAGTTRCAGGRGAAAATCCSATATTCCCGAGGTGCATAAACATGGAATCATCGGAGAGACGCAGGTCCTGGGAAACTCATGGGGTTTGGCACAGCCAAGAGCTGGCGCAGCACCTGGATCAGGACAATTCCTGGGATTGATCCAGGCTGGAGAGTGAAATGGTGACTTGGAGCTGGACAGGAAAAAATGAACCCCCAGCACGGGCAGCAGGAAAGGGGGGATTTTGCCCCGCCGCAGCCTCAGGTGAGACCCTACCTGCAGAGCTGCCCCAGCACTGGGAACAGCACTGGGAGGAACTGGAGCTGCTGGAGCCAGGCCTGGATGAGCAGAGCGATGGAGGAGATCTGCTGGGAGGAGAGGATGGGATGGTTCAGCCTGGAGAGAAGAAGCTTTGGGGTGAGCTCATCGTGGCTTTGCAGGGCCTGAAGGAGCCAACAAGAAACATGGAGATGATTTACGTGAGTGCGGCCCTGGGCGAAAGAGGCCACGGGCGGGAGAAAGCACCTGCCTTCACCTGTTCTCACCTGTTCTCACCTGTTCACACCTTTTCTCACCTGGTCACACCTGTTCTCACCCGCTCTCGCCTGTTCTCAGCCGTTTTTCCCCGTTCTCAGGTGTCTCCCTCTGCTCTCTGCTGTCCCCCCTCACCTCCCCTCACCTGCCCKCACGCGCCCTCCCCTCGCGGCACCAGAGGACTACAATTCCCGGCGTGCCCCGCTCGAGSCCTCGCCGCTCATTGGCTGTGGAGAACGGAAGCGGCTCTCGCGTGCCGGGAGCGTGGCGGAAGCCGGAAGCCGGAAGCGCGGCTGGCGCAGGTGAGTGCGGGGCCGGGGGCTCGGGGTGCCCGGGGAGGGCGGGGGGGACCCGGCGGGTTTGGGGGCGATGGCCCCGGTCCGGGTTATCCCATCAGCTCCGGACAGCGCGGGGGTGGCCCTGCGAGGGTCGCGGTGGGGCTGGAGGAGCCGCGGGGGCTGCGCTGGGCGAGTCGTGCTGGCGGCGGTGTTTGAGGTCGGTCCCGCCGGTCTGAGCTCGGCAATTCCCGGTCCCGCCGGTCTGAGCTCGGCAGTTCCCTCACGCACGGCCGCAGTGTCCCCACACAGGACGTGCAATGAGGGGAAAGTTGTCCCCCACCCCGGGAGATCGCAGTTTCCCTCAGGGATGTCAAGAGCACTTTGAAACACTTTAMAGATTTATAAATGGGAATAAAAGGAGTTAAATCATGAAATTATTTAGATGTGTGTAAATATGGAAAGGGGAGGGGGCAGAGCAGGGCCCGGCTGTGCTCCAGCAGAGGGACGGGCAGGGACCGAGCTGGAACAGAGAGGCTGTGGAGTGTCCT